ACAACAATATCCTGTTTATACAACTTAAAAGAAAGAAAATAATTTATTTTTATATATAACATTAATATTATTGCAATAAAAGCCATAAATTATACTTCAGATGAATGAAAGAAATAAATAACACTAGTTCCCTTAGTTCATTTGCAGTGAATAGTTTAATTTGAACAAGGTAACGACACGTTGCCGTCATTTCATCAGCCGGGGTATAAGATTTATTTATTTTATTATTTATTTCAACACTTTTGTTGACTTACAAGGTAATATTACCCTCGGTATTATCATTCTCTAAGCATTACTCACAAAGATAACATTTACTCCACAGTATTCCATCCAAAAAATGGCTGACGATTTGATTGCGAAATTCCAATCACTTGGCATGAGTGAGCAGAAGGCCAAAGAGACAGCTAAAAATGCAAATGTGAGTAAGAATTTGCAGCTGGTCTTGGAACAATGCAATGGTGCATCGCTGGCCGATGGTGTTGGCATGTTGTTGTATCACATGGCCACAAAAATCAAACCCCAATGTGCTGAACATTTGCCACTGCTGGTACGTTATATTGTAGAAAAGAAATTGGACTCCACAATGCGTATAGATGCCGGTTTGGAATATCTATTGAAATGTGCCGTTCAGAAAAAGGGACAAAATATTGATTTGGCTGAATTGGATAAGGAGTGTGGTGTAGGTGTCGTTGTAACTCCCGAAGAAATTGAAAGTGTTGTCCAAAAGCAAGTGGCCAAACATAAGGATGCCTTGTTGGAACAACGTTATCATTTCAATAGTTTTAAAATTATGCAGGAAGTGCGTGAACAATTGAAATGGGCCGATGCCAAGAGTGTTAAGGCAGCCATTGATGTGGAAATCTTTGATTTGTTGGGTCCCAAAACTGAGGAAGATATGAAGCCCCTAACCAAGGGTGATAAGAAAAAGGAAAAACCCAAGGCAGCGGAAAATAAACAAGCTAACAATAAAACTACTGCCGCTGCTGCCAGTAAGGAAGTGGAATCATCATCCTCAGATGGAGCCAACACTATTGCCGAATTGATGAAAACCAAAGTCCATTTCCATGCCCCTGGTGAAAATTACAAAACCGATGGTTATGTGGTAACCGACAACACCGAAAGGTTATTGAAAGAACATTTGAAGGCCACCGGTGGTAGAGTACAAACACGTTTCCCTCCCGAACCTAATGGTATTCTACACATTGGCCACGCTAAGGCAATTAACATTAATTTCGGTTATGCTGCTGCCCACAATGGTGTCTGCTATTTACGTTACGATGATACCAACCCCGAAAAGGAAGAGGAAAAATTCTTTGTTGGCATCAAGGATATGGTTGAATGGTTGGGTTATAAACCCTATAAAATTACCCATTCCTCAGATAATTTCCAACAGTTGTATGAATGGGCTGTTGTCCTCATACGTAAAGGTTTGGCCTACGTTTGCCATCAATCGGCCGATGAAATGAAGGGATTCAATCCCAAACCCAGTCAATGGAGAGATCGTCCCATCGAGGAATCACTGCAACTCTTTGAAGACATGAAAAATGGTAAAATTGATGAAGGAGCTGCCACCTTGCGTCTTAAGTTAACCCTGGAAGAGGGAAAAGTTGATCCCGTCGCCTATCGTATCAAGTTTATTGCCCATCATCGCACCGGCAACAAATGGTGTATCTATCCCACATATGACTACACTCACTGCCTGTGTGACTCGTTGGAGAACATTACCCATTCCTTGTGTACCAAGGAATTCCAATCGAGAAGATCTTCCTATTATTGGTTGTGTAACGCCTTAGACATCTACTGCCCAGTCCAATGGGAGTACGGCCGTCTGAATATGAACTATGCTTTGGTCTCAAAACGTAAAATTGCCAAGCTGATAACCGAAAAGATTGTCAATGATTGGGACGATCCTCGTCTATTCACACTGACAGCATTGCGCAGAAGAGGTTTCCCCGCCGAGGCAATTAATAATTTCTGTGCCCAAATGGGTGTGACTGGTGCACAAATTTCCGTTGATCCCTCTATGTTGGAAGCCTCGGTACGAGATGTTCTCAATGTCAGCGCTCCACGTAGATTGGTGGTAATTGAACCTTTGAAGGTGACTCTGGAAAATTTCCCCCATCCCAACGCCATTGAAATTGATGTACCCAATTTCCCACAAAATCCCGAACAAGGTAGCCACAAAGTTGTATTAGATCGTGTTATTTATATTGAGCAAAGTGATTTCAAATCGGAACCCGAAAAGGGCTATCGCCGTTTGGCACCCGGACAAAGTGTTGGCCTGCGTCATGCCAATTTGGTTATTTCTTTGAAGGAGGTTAAAAAAGATGCTGCTGGTCACATCATCGAATTGGTATGTGAATGTCAGCCCACCGAAACTGCCGAGAAGCCGAAAGCATTTATTCAATGGGTATCGCAGCCCATTGAAATTGAAGTACGCCTTTATGAGCTGCTGTTCAAACATAAAAATCCTGAAGATCCTAATGAAGTACCTGGTGGTTTCTTATCGGATATTAATCCTAATTCTATGGCCATTATGAACTCATATGCCGATCGTTCTTTGGCCAATTGCAAAGTCTACGATAAGTTCCAATTTGAACGTGTAGGTTTCTTCTCCGTCGATCCTGATACCACTAAGGATAAAATTGTATTCAATCGTACTGTGGGCCTTAAAGAAGATGCTGGTAAAAAATAAAGAAAAGGTTTTTGAAATCTTTTAATTCTGTAAAAATAACAACAACAAATTAAAAATTTGTAAATTTGAATCTGGAATTGGGTTAAAAAGTTTTTGTTTTTTTGTAACCAAACAAATAAAATATTTTTGAAAAAATTAAAAAATCTTATCGATGCCTAAATTATTAGGGAAATTGCAATTCAGCCAGGCTGAATTACAGTTTTCCTATTGAGAACCTAAACCTGAAGGCTGAAGATCTAAAAAACCATCATATAAAAAATAAAAACCTTTTGATGTCCTTTGTAAAAAAATGCTAACAAAATTCGTTTATTTCTTTCCTTCTACCATAATAATGTGGTAACCAAATTTCGTCTTAATTGGTGGATCTGTATAAATGGGATTGTTGACCGTTGAGATGGGTAGGGCGAACGCGGCATCTTGAAATGGTCCCACCATTGCACCACGTATTTGCCAACCTAAATCACCGCCTTGACGTGCCTTATCTTCACTGTATGCTGCCGCCACTTCGGGGAATTTTTGACCAGCCTTTAGCTTTTCCAAAGCCTCGAGGATTTTTCCTTGTTTTTCACACAGAATGTGTCGTACCTTAACGGCATTGCCGCCTTTCTTTTCTTTGCCTGGAATAAGAGGGAGAGAGAGAGAAGTGAAATTCATAAGTCAATGTTGTGGAAGAAAGGGAATTTCTTTGCAATTCTGAGAAGGACAATAGTCTTATCTTTGAATTGATCGAACTTCTTTGGCGGGTATTTCTAAATATAATTGAAAATTATCTGAAATAGATTTGGTCCAATAAACTTGGAGCCTAAAAGTGAAATGTTGATGATCCTGATTGAATACACATCTCGAATCTAAAATTGATATTACGATGAGACAAATTTGTGATCGTATGCATTTGTGAAGGCCCATAACTCAGGAAGTATGGACATGCATTAAAATTTACTTAAGCTTTTCCATGGTTTGAAATAGATGAGATTCGTAAGGAAGTTTTAAAAAATCTATCCGCATGCTCTCCATCGTGAACTCGACATGGACAGGATCTTCCTCCCGAATCCTACTGCTCGCATAAAAGTGATGGAATTGGCGAAGCACTGCCTCTCACAAAGGTGCTAAGCCTAACACGAGTCAAAAGGCACAGGAAAAGGCTATTGAGAACACCCCGAAACAAAATGTCACCCATAAGAGTGATAAACGTGTGGATGGCTCTGTCTCAAAGCTCGATTCTACGCCTAGCGACAAAGGTAAAGCTAAAGTTTTGGGTCGATCCACCAGTGGTCGAAATAGGAAGAAGGGAAAGTCAGGCAAGGAACCATCGTCTCCTGGGAGAGCAAATGCTGCAAAATCCCAGCCTCACTACATCGAGCTGGACTGTTGTCAGTGTTGCTCCTTGTAACGAGGATGGAGGGATGGTCGGAATAAATGCGGACGGCGCATGTAGCAAAATGGTAGTGATTTTCCAAGAGCTAAATTTATGATTTTAAAATTTATATAGCTTCCATTATTCATGTACAGTGACTTCAACCCAGTGTTCCAACCTATAATACGATAATTTTTATTCCATTCCATAAAAACGAAAATAGTTTACCTTTTTCTTCAGCAGCACCGGCACCACCTTTTTTGCCGCCAGCATCTTTGCCTTTGCTGCCACCTTTGGCGTCTTTCTTGGGAGGCATATTGTGCTATATATTTTATATATGATTCAGGTTCACTTGGCCAAGAAAAAAATCCGGCGACTTCTCAACTCCTAACTACAAGTCAATGTTTACGTTTTTATGATGATAGGTTATGTTACAATTGAAATGTCAAAAATACTCTCACCCACTCTATACAATGTGGCAACATGTGTTTTATTTGCAAGAAGTTAAACACAATCAGAACGAAAAACGCCGGCGGCAATAAGCATTGATTTACTCATAAATCTCTATGGCATGAAGGAAAAGAAATGAGATAAATTCTAATGAGTTTCTCATTATCATCTCTCGCATTTTTACAGCTTATTCTCATTTTATTTTACTTTTATGATATGCAAATTAAATTTAATTATTAAAAATAATTTTATTTTTAAACATCAACAATTCCAACCCCACAATAAAAAAAGTCTTGCGCGCTGACTCTGTTTTGAACACCTATACTCACTCTCACTTGCGTATAAAAGTAATCACCTGCTCAGCGATTATCAATTACCCGTACACTCTCTTTTCTGTCTGAACTGAACAAAAAAAGTTCGCCAAGTTATTTTCGTAAGTGATATTTTGTAAAATTTCCCCAAAAATATTTAATTTCATTGCGAAAAACTAATTGCAATTCATAAAATTCTCCATACAGATTAATTTGAATACGAATTAAGAACAGACAAACCGTTGCAATATGCCGAAAAACAAGGGTAAAGGTGGTAAAAATCGTCGCCGTGGAAAGAACGAAAATGAATTCGAGAAACGTGAATTGATTTTCAAAGAAGACCAGCAGGAATATGCCCAAGTAACAAAAATGTTGGGAAATGGTCGTTTGGAGGCAATGTGCTTTGATGGTGTGAAACGTTTGTGTCACATTCGGGGGAAACTCAGAAAGAAGGTAAATAAAAATATTTTTTCTTTATATGATGGGTTCATCCAACATTTTTCAATTTCAAATGAAAGTGAATAATAGAAAATTTTCAATTTTTTTTGCAAATGTTTTTATATGAACGTGTGGCGAAGACGACAACGACGATGATATTTTGTGTGTATGTGTGTTTGGCTGCAAGTGTGTTTCTCGTACACAGTGTGTATGAAATTGTATGCGCATAAGTGTGTGTGTTCGATGACAGACCGCGACAACTACATGTAGCGAATTATTATAGCGCCGCGCATATACAATTTTTGTATTTGCCTTCAAGTTCATTTAACTTTTTTTAACATCGGGATACAAATTTTCTTTGTAAACATCATCATTGTTGTTGGATGATACCCAACAAGGCCACAAGGGAATATGTAGGAGTTCCTTCCCCACACTACTGTGTGCGACAATTATGTTTGTTGTAAACAAACAACAAATAGATGCTGCCTGCCTGCTGCACAGCACACATTGCAATTGTCAATTTGTTTGTAACCTCAAGTTGATGTGATTCATTAATTATCAAGGATGTTTTTTCAATACTTTCCCCTCCTTTCAACCTACAGATTTTGCGTCTGAAACTCATTAATATTTACAATGTAATCTTATCTTTATATTGAATAATTTTATAATTATGATATAGTACTCCCAATATTCATTATAGTATTAGAATAGATTCAAGTTTCTATATTTGTTTGTTTAAAGAAGCCCCTGTTTGCAATTGTAGACTTTTAAACACATTTAATTTATTTTGACAAGCAATGCAAATGGCGTCATATTTTACAAAAAAAGAAGATTGCGTATTGAAATATTTCACCATATTGATTAAAAGTTGGGAAATATGATATTTCATGCATTTATTACTTAATGGGTATTTCTCAGACAATTTTGAAAATTAGAATTCCAAAAGTTGACCTTTATACCCTCAGCCCTAAGGTTATTAACACAATCAAACATGCACTTTGACGAAATATCGGTTTTAAATTCCCAGTGTCTTTTGGAGTAAATGATTTTAGGCAGAAAATTTGTGTAGCTGGTGGCCACAAAAGGAATAACCAATAGGATCGGAATGGTTAATAGCGATCCATTTCTTCTGGTACATCCTGCAGAAGACATGTGTGTTGGCCCAGAATAACAAATTTGGAACCGAAAAATTTACAATAACTAGACCTTGTTTGAACGTACATATGTAGGTATTTTTTGGTTTTCAGAGAAATTTCATAGATGTATCGCCAATTTGAGATTAATAATGACGGCCTAACCATGCTTATACCGCATATATTAGACTATTATTTTTACATTTCAGTTATCATGGTATATTTGACACACCATGTCAAATTTACGGTGAGATAGAGAACAACTTCTTAGGAGGTGGGTTAGGTCAGAATAAACAAGTACATCCCGGCATAGGTCTAGGACACACAACTCTTTCGTAGCAAATATTTGGGGAAAAAGAAATCCATTATTTTTATATGAACTATAGGACTATTTAACATGCTTCGGAGTGTCCGATTTGGGCCAAAAATGTACCGTTTTGTTGTCATTCTCTCTCTATTTACAAAAAACTCTAGTAGTCGATTTTCACAATCCTCCCTAGACACCAAATTTTGCTATGTATGTCAATTAATATTTTCAAACGGTCCAGTTGTTAACAGTAGAGATCAGAATTTAGCGTTTGGCTATAGGAAGCAACTCGTAATAAATAATGCCCTTCAGATCGCACCAAAGGCATAGCAGAACCTTCCTGGCCGTTATTCCTGGTTTGACCACCGTTTGAGATGCTTCACCGCTCTTTGACCACGTTCGTTTTCACGCAGGGTTATCGTATGTGATCCATTTCTCATCCCTAGTCACCACCCGTTTAAGAAATGGGTCTATCTCATTCCGTTTGGCTAAGGCTTCGCAGATGGAAATTCGATCCATCCCACTTTTTCTATTAATTGGCGTGACACCCAAACATCGAGCTTCTTTTTGAATCTAGCTTTGTGTAAATGGTTTAAAACAGTTTTATGATCGATTATTAGCTCCTGGGCGATGTTACGACTGCTAACTTGCCGGTCAACTTCGATCATTTCTCCGATTTTATCGACATTTCCGACGACCGACTTAATGGATTTCTTTCTCCCCAACCTAATATTATTTAAAACCATTTTGCAAATTTTAAAACGTTTATCTTTTTTAAAACTTGTTTATTGCTAATTTGTAAAAAATAGAATTCAATGAATATTTTTTCTGTGTATTCTTCATAATGGATGTTGTTTGTTAAAACTTTGTAAACAGCCAAATTTATCTATATGCACCTAATTTTTATTTTCTTGGGAATATCTTTCCATTTATCCACTCTTATTTTGGCATTCTATATTAAGACGTGTTGTCATAAATGAATTTATCTCTTTCTTCTATCCGGTTTTTTTAACATCTACAATGTCTAGAGATTGTGCTTGCTGTGAAGAAATTACGTTATTTTCTATTTTCACAACAGTTACTTCAACAGCAGATGCTCTTCTCTGGAGTCGATGACATATAAAGGTTTTGATAAACAAATGCGTATTCAAAAAATATATAAAAAATTTAGATTAACAAAAAATCAAGCTCAAAAAATGTATTTAAGAAATATTTTGGAAAGAAACGGTTCTTTAAACATGTTTAAGAAATCCTCGATTTTAGACTTCAAAAACAAACATTTAAATATGAACACCTGTTAAGGGATTTTGAAAACTATTTTAACCCTTTCACACCCAACATAATCAATTGTGAAAACTGAAAATGTTTAAGATATGGTAGTATAAATATGTGTATGAGTTTTAATTAATTTTTAGATTATTGCCCTGAGGATGGCCTTTAAGAATTAACGGTTTTTTACTAATGAAAAAAATTAGAATTAATTTAAAAGTCCAATACTATTGACATAAAATGGGTCTTTACAAATTCTATAAGAAGTTCTTGACAATTGACCCAAAGAGAGAATCACGATCATTTCTTGAAAAAATGGTGTAAAAACCCCAATAAGGGCCTTTTTAAATTATTATAAAAATCCACGATCATTGACCTTAAGTAGGTCGTTAAAATATATACGCAAATATAGAGAGGGCTTTAAAAAATTAATGATCGACAATCAAGTCATTTAGTCGAGCTTTGGTCCTCTTGTTTTTTCATCCTAGGTGGATTTTCCAATCGATGTTACTACATTTTGGCATTACGAAATGGTTGCAATTTGACATTCCAGAATCTATCTGGGTAAAGAACTTACGATACATTTTCAATAAAAGTGTTTCGACATACCCTTCATGTGCCTCACCGAAATATTGAATTTGACCCAAAGTTTTTTTTTGGTCCAAAACGTTTCAGACAATTTGGAGTCGATTTACATATGTCCATCTGACAAAGGGTTAAAATTTTTATAATTTGTTAATCCAAAATCTCAATAATTTGTTAATCCGATATCAAGCTAATGGAACTTCCGATTTGATAATGTTTCAATAACATTTAAAGTGAAAATCTCTACAATTCTTGAAGATATAGCCGATTTATTGTGTCATCGTCAAGCGACAGTGTTTTTATGAATGGCGGGCGCGATAACTCAAAAACTATTGATCCAATCGTATCAAAATGTTAACACGTTATTCTTGACCAATATAGCTATCGTATGAGCTGTGGTACAGGGTATTATGTCTTTGTGCATGTGTTTATAGCAGGCAAAAGGAATCGAGATTGAACCATGGTTACTTTTGAGAATATGCATAGAATCACTTTCTAAGTCGATTTATGCATGTGCGTCCGTTTATGTATTTTTGTAAACAAAGTACAGGTCGCATTTATGATCAGTTTGATTGAAACTTTACACATGTCACTAATTTGTCCCAAAGACGAACCCTATTGAAATTGAAATAGTTTCGTCCGATTTTAAGTAAATGATGCACCAAACTCCCAATATTGGTCCTATTGAGACAAAATTTCGCACAGAGTACTGAATTAGGTCTAGATTGACGTATTCCAAGTTTTGTTAAAATCGGTTCAGATTGAGATATAGTTTCTTCCGCTCTTATGTAAAGGGAGCACCATTCTGCCAATATTGGTCCGATTGAGACAAAATTTTGCACAGACTACTGAATTAGATCCAGATTGATGTATGCGAAGTTTTTTTGAAATCGGTTCAGATTTAGATATAGGTCCCATATATAGTTTCGTCCAATTTTATGTAAATGGAGCACTAAAAAGTCACAAATTTTGCACAATGTTCTGTATTTGGTCCAAATTTATGTATACGAAGTTTCGTTGGAATCGGTTCAGATTTAAATATAGTAGCTCCCATGTATAGCTTCATTCGATTGTATGTAATTGGTGCACCATATCATCCCAGTAGTTCGAGTAACTGGTTATGAACTGATTATTTTACTAATTACCTGTAACTACCACTAGTTACCTCTTCATGCCCTAGACTGGTGAATTTAACATGGGTATGTCATTGGGGAAGTCAATTGTCCCCTGCCTGCGTTACCAGTATACAGTCATTTCGGTAGTAAAAAATTGTTGTATATTTGACTAGTTACTTATGTATAGAAAATTCGATGTATAACAGTTTGAAAAATTACAATTTATTCTGTACAAAAATATTTGTTATAACATAGTATTGTATACATATATATTGTTTGATCCATCTGAAAGTCACTAGTTCACTTTTGTCGGCGGGGGCTTTGCAAATATGTCTCCCTGGCTAAATAGATTTATCTGAAAAAGACGATTAGACGATAGAAACAGTTGAAGTTAGAAGTCCTACATAAAGTTTTTATGTTATAGAAAACTTACCTATAGAAAATCGGCAGTATACCCCTTGAGCATTTCGTGATGCGTTGAGGACCTCTATGGAGCGACACCTCTTCGTGTATTTATTAAATGTTCACAGAAGGCATGTCAATACTCCTTTAGGAATATATTTAATTTGAAAATTGTCAATCTGTGAATTTGTTGGAAATGAAGCC